GGGGGGGGGGACCCTTCATCTCTGTAACCAAACGCTAGAGCGCATAGGTATGGTTGCCGGAATCGATGGTTGAGGTATTGGTACATTCACCCTATTCTGGATGGACACGGCAAACCGCGCGGCGGAATTCGTGGTGATCTGAATGACGCCCATTATTGGGGCAGAGATTTAAAGTAGATTGAATAAGTAGGGCCAACTGATGCTACTTATCTACCCTACTTCAAATTTTGTTCCAGTGATAGGCGCGGGAGTCGTTTAGATCACTACTAGTTTCCAGAACTGGGTGAATATTTCGTCCCCCTAATGGTTGCGCCTTTCTTAGCCTCAGCCACGGAAATACATTTTTTTCATCTGAATCTTAAGATGAAAGTGGCATCGATCTCGGTGAGTTATCTTTATATTCGATTGTTTTACGTTCTAGGTTTTTGTATAGACTTTTGTATAAGGTAGTCATCTCATCCACAGAGATCCCTCTTAAGGCTCAGCTTAAATGCTATATTATTCCTCTTAAAAGTTGTCTCCAAGCTTAAATGAAGTTGGCTTCCTCACTTCTTTGGGTTTATCGCTTCATGTAAGATGAGAGACTCCCTTCCCCGGCCCCCCATTAGACTTTGTCGGTTTTTTGACCTGTCGGCTGAAAGAACACTCAATACCTGCAACTTCGAATTAGCCTAAAATTTAATAGGTTGATGCATAATCATTGCGAATTTTTTCGCGGCTTCCTTTCTCTCATGCAATTAGAATATTGAATTCGGAATTTAATATAATAAAACTCCTTGCCTTCCTTAACAGAAATATGCCTAGAAAGTCATCTCCATATACGCCGCATTAGACCCTATTTCTTCGAGAAAGCGTGGAAGGTGGCACAGCCATGAAGTGATCTCAACAAACACCTCGGCGATGGAACAGTCGGCTAAAGCCAAATAAAGAATGGAATCTGCTTCAAGGGTCGCCTTATTCACCAACAGAAACTCCTATGGATTATCACGTCAATCGCCAGTTGAAAATTGCCAATCGACGAAATGGATGGCTTGATGGTCGACGTCGGGCGTGGGTCGCTTCCAAGAATCGAAACTCTTTTGCCTATGGAATGCGACTGCCTAGCAAATGGGAAGCAATGCTTAACTTAGATGGTGGATAAGTTCCGGAGTAATTATTTGAACATGTCTTTGCTAAGTATTTCTATGGTTTCTTGAAGTAAAATTTGCTGAAAAAAATCCGTAATAATTATGCATCAACCTAATACGAAGCCGAAACTGTGTGCATATAGTACACTTAGTATTAGCATAAGATAATGCAAAAATGTTCAAAATGTTGTATGACGATGCCGATCAACCGCCGGCCACTGGCCGATCCGGGTGTTCCCGATGGACGCCGCAAGCGTTCCGAAGGGACCACCCGGCTTAGCCACCAGCCGGCGGCTGATCCGCAGCGCCAGCTTACTTATACCTATAAGACACGCAGTAAAACGAACTTCACCATGAGTTTCGCAAAGAACAGCATACTTTTATGCCTCAGCTTTTTCAACCGAAGCAATTAGTTAAATGAAGAGCGAAAACGCTGCTCTGTGACTGTCGACATCTATCGATGGCTTTTTTGGAAGATCAATACTGCCTTCATAGACATCGATATTTCGACCAACAGGGTCATCGCCACGCATAACACTTTTTCTTATGGATTGCCTGCGATTTCATTTATATTTATTGAACGATTTATTGAGTTATCCATATTCCTCTCTTTCTTTCATTTCTTTTCTTTCATCGTGTATTTCGAGGCGAGATGAGCAGTAGCAAGTGCTGCCGATTGTGCCACTATGGTGTAAGAATCTTATCTCGAAACTAATACCGTTCAGACAATATATCATCGGACTTTTCTGGTAGAAAAAATGACGATACTACGATCCTGATGAGGTTATTTCATTAAAGAATGGAAGCCTCAACCTTGTGGATCAATGACCATCGGACTGCCTTACATATGTAGATTGAATTCCACACACGTGACTGAGTTGTTCCTGCCTTTTGTTCTGAACCATGCTTTACTTTTATTTGAATGCAGTTCGTTGAATTAAGGTGGTCATGAAATTGTGGTTAGTGCACCTAAGCGTGAATCAAATAGGTAAATAAGTTGGCATCCATGTGCCACTAGGAGCTCTTAGGAAGTCCTGTGTGTGGATGAACCAAGTAATACTCGACCGTTTGATCAAGTTTGCAGTTTTCTCCATGAATCGTTGTTGCAGATCAGAGATCAGCAATTTCCTTGAAATCCATTGAACTGACGGGAAAAAATTCTATTAAAGTCCACTTTGTTCCAACAACTAGATGATTTTCATTAGTCTCCTGGGACAATTTGTCTTCGACCTTTTTCTAACGGCACATCCTTCCACCATTATGTCTTCATGGGTTTTTAGCGGTACAAACACAGGATGACTGATGTGCTCCGGCAAGTGTAAGGTATGTTTACATGATGGCAATCTACTTTTTTGAACTTGTTCAAGTCTTTTCTGCAACGAAGAAAAACTTTCATGAATGAAATAAGTGTGAAAAAAGCAAACTTCACTAATCAATCTCCTCGAAGTATGCCATAAAATAGCTTCCCATCAGATTCGAAAAAATGTTTGAGTTAGGTTTTTTCTTTTGGCTAACGAGTGATGTGATCTGTAGATGGTGCACTGGTAACGTTGCCTCTTGCCTCATCTCAAAGGCTTTTTATATCTACCAATATTTGTTAATATTTGCTAGACATGTTATTACAATTACAGCAAATTGCAAGTAGT